CCCGGAATGCCCACGACACTTGTCTCCCCTGCCTCTGACTGCCACTCTCACCCCCCCCCACCGAATTGCATCCCCCCTTGGCGTTGTTCAATTGGACGCCCTGCCGCGCGCAGCTCTTTGCTCGCGCTCTCCCCTTGTCCCGTTCCTTGCCTCGTCCAGCCATGTCCACCCTCCTGTCCAACAAGCTCAGCCTCTCCGACATCAAGCCGGAGCAGGTGGCCGGAAAGCGCGTCCTCGTGCGCGTGGATTTCAACGTCCCCCTGAAGCACGAGGCCGGTCGTGGGGCTACCATCACCGATGACAGCCGCATTACCGCCACCCTGCCGACCCTGCAGGCTCTGCAGGCTCTCAAGCCGGCGGCCATTGTCCTGATCAGCCATCTGGGCCGGCCGGATGGCAGCGTCGTGCCCAAGTACTCCCTGGCCCCGGTGGCCACGCACCTGGCCGGCCTGCTCGGGTCTTCGGTTACCCTGCTGACCGAGAACATTTCCACCGACTGCGAGGCCATCCGCAACAAGCTGTCTGCCGCGTCCGATGGTCAGGTTTTCATGCTGGAGAACATTCGCTTCTCCCCCTTCGAGGAGGGCAAGTCCGTCGTCGATGGCAAGAAGGTGGGTTTCACCCTGCTGGCATGCTTGGCCCCCCTCCCCTCGCCCATCCATCTCTCCATCTCTCTCTCTCTCTCTCTCTCTCTCTCTCTCGCAGGCCCGGCCCCCCCCCCGAGCACGGCTCCCTTCCTCACCCGCCACTCGCCTTCGCACTCCGGCTCTCGCTCGCGCCCTCCCTCCGCCGCCCCGCGCCACCTCCTCTGGTGTCACATAGCTTACTGCCTCCAAGGAGGACATCAAGACCTTCTGCGATGCCCTCAGCAGCTTTGGCGACATCTACATCAATGATGCCTTCGGCGCCGCCCACCGTGCCCATAGGTAAACGCCGGAATGCTTCCGCTGCTTGTTCTGCTTTTTTTTTTGATCGGCACCCCACCCTCCTCGGCCCGTGCTTC